AGGCCGAAGCCTCTTCTGAAAGGAGCAGAGCTCTTGGATCGAAGCAAGTGGGCGTTTGTGTATCACGTCGTCTCTACAGGACTGCTCCCACGGCCCGGGCTGCAGCACCTGGAGCGTCCGCAGCTTAGTTCATCGCCTGAACGGCGGATGGGCCAGATGGGCCAGGTGGGGTCTCGATGTGCCTGTCGAAATGTAAGAAATGTTAGTGACGAAATGCTCTGCTTGGCATCTTTGCGAAGATCCCGGAGTCTCCGAAAAGGGCCCTAATTCTATAAATTCGGAACATTCGAAAATTCGAACAATTTAGAACATCGAGGCATCTGGACGTCAACCTCCTACTAGGCGATGCGGTGTTGCTGAGCATTCGTCCGACCCGGTAGAAACTGTATAGCCCCATAAGTTCTAGTGACCTAGTGCGCGCGATGATTCTTAAAGTAGAAGTTACCTTTTATTTACTCCAGGTATGAGACGCCCCCAATCGCAAAAGAGAACTCGGCCCTGATAACCTCAGTTTGAATCCTCCCGGAATGCTATTTCCACGACTGAATGCAATGGTAACTTGGGTTGAGGAATGAGTGGGAGAAGAGCACGTTTCTAGAAGTTATGAGTTGAACATGCTGTGCGATGTGTGTGTGTGTATGCAAAGCAAAAGGCCCCCCCCCAACCCCCTTCTAACCCCTAAACCGAAACACACAATAGGTAGACACCTGGGGGTTGGGGGGGAGTACCAGTTATTTTTTAAAGCATATATGCAGGTACATACCACCAAGGTGCCTCAAGCCGCATGTGTGTCAATCTTCCACTTGTCGAACGAGATGGTGTTGCTGGTTCTTTGCTGCAGAGAGCACCGTGCTCGGTAGCCCAGTGGTGCCCTTTACACTTCACACTTTTTTGGGTTCTGGGTTCCCTTCTAAAGTAACCAGCCAAACAAGGGTGTTACTGGGCTACTGAGCCTGCAAAAGTGCTCAGGTTTCCTTAGCAATTCGCAGCCCGGTTGTTTTGCCCCAACCTCAGTCGAGGTCTTGTCGCACCACGACATCCAAGACGAGGCCGTGTCAGCCCTAAGCCCTAAACCCTAAACTCTCAACCCTAAACCCTAAACCCCAAACAAAAACCCTAAACCCTAAACCCTAAACTCTAAACCCACAACCCCAAAACCCTAAACCCAAAGCCCTTAAAAGCGCAGGCGGCCCCGCAGAGTGATCTCGACTGGGAGGCGCGAAGCAAGATGCGAGGTTCCACGAGGGGCGTATATGGACGTGCTTTAGGCTTTAGGCTTTTGGCTTGAGGGTTTAGGGTTTAGGGTTTGGGGTTTAGGGTTTGGGGTCTAGGGTTTTAGGGTTTTAGGGTTTAGGGTTTGGTGACGAGGCGGCGCCCACTCTCCACAACTTTGCCATTCTGCATGGCTCACCAGGCAGTGGACTGTTGCACAGTGGGCGAGGTGATGTTGAAGTTTACCGCTGTGGGGGGGGCAGGGGGGTTGGCTTGTTTTGAGGGTGGGGAGGGGGGGTCGGGGGGGGGGGGGGGGGGGGGGGGGGGGGGGGGGTCAAATCGGCAAATCCCGATAAACCCTAAGCCCTAAACTCGAAACTAAAAACCAACCAACGGCGTCCAACGGCAATCCGAACATCTCCATCCCTATGTATGTAGCAAAGAAGTAGATCAGGATCAGGAGCTGTCGTGTCTTGCGACCCTTCCGAGTGAGTGTTTGAGGTCGTTCCTAGACCCTAAACCCTAAACCCTAAACCCCAAACCCTAAACCCTAAACCCTAAACACTAAACCCTAAACCCTAAACCCTAAACCCTAAACCCATGAACGTAGCCGCCTGCCAGGGAGGCCTGCATCCAGCTGGCGCAGCCGTTATTCTCTTGGGCGTGAACTCGGTTCCGGGCAAACGGCCAGCGTTTTCGAGGCAGACCTGCTCTCGGAGCGCGCTCAGATGGCGTTGATTTTGCAGGACACCCTAGGCCTCAAACCCTAAACCCTAAACCCTAAACCCTAAACCCTAAACCCTAAACCCTAAACCCTAAACCCTAAACCCCCAAACTCTGAACCCCGGAAGCACCAGGCTTTTGCCACGGCGCCCCAGATGCCCGATGTGGAGGGGTGGGGCTCACAGCGCTGAGAGCATCAGGGACGCCACTGGCGCATTGACACCGCCATCTGAAGCCCTCAGGCCGGTCACGAGCCCACGTCCAGGCACGTGCTGGCGCTGTACTTGAGAAGGTTCATGGGTAGATATAGGTCGGGTTCTAAGCACCCTAAATAAGGTTACAATCAGTCATGGATACAGCAACCTTACTTCTAAACCCACTTAAAGCTACCATGAACCTCCAAGTAAGGGCTTGCGTCGCCGCAAGCTGCTGCGCTGCAGCTGTGGCATCTGCCCGAGGTGACGAGAGGTGGGGTGGATCAAGCCCTTCCTCTGGACGGAGGGTGGCGCCACAACCTAAGACTGCGAGCACCTATCTGAGGGTAGTTTCATGGGCTTTAAAGGGTTCTGATGTATGGGCCCTTAATCTGTATGGGGTATATAAGGGGAAAATAAGGGCCATATAAGGGGTAGCCCGTACTAGGGGACCATGAAACTACCCTTAGAATCTAAGGCGGGTGTTACAGATGTCAAGCGCTCAGGTTGAAGCGCTTTCACCGTCAGAGGACCACCATGTTCAAGGCAGAGCAGAAGGCCAGTCATGTGAGGAGGATCCGAAGTTCTGCGTGAACCAAAACAAGGCTGTGTCAAGTCGTAAGTGCGTGGCGAGTCTGCCGAAACAGATGTAGGTGAGGCCTTTTGCGCATAAAACCAAGAAGCATGGAGATGAGCTGGGTAGTTTCCTCGAATTATAGTCCCGTTTTGGGTTCCCACTATCAGGCGGCACCCTTTAAAACGGGATCACAAGAAGGGACCGCAATCTAGGAAGCTACCCATGGAGTCGTTTGCATACTTTGCCGTGAAAAGCGCATGTGTTTAGTCCGTTGGAATACAGCTCGACCCCTCCGAGTCTCGGTGAGAGGCCTCAGGTTTAGAGGGTCTAGGGTTTGGGGTTTAGGGTTTGGGGTTTGTGGTCTAGGGTTTCGAGGCTGTTTCGGCCATCCCTCCTTCTCTGGAAGGCTCTGTTGGCCGCCGGCGTGCATCCGCACGTGATTCGGCTGCTTGAAAGCTTCGAGGCCTCTCCGTTGCACCTTGTGACGCTTCGTGCCGCATCATAGGGCCGGGAGGAGCTTGTACTTCACCCTGAGCTGCATGGGGGTTTGCGAAAAAAAGGGGACCCCTAAAATAGACCCCCAGTAGTCGGATCCCCCTATAATAAGGACCCCAGTAAGGTGCCCCCAATTTCGGAAACCCCCACATGTTTGATACTTATCAATTCGCTAAGAGAGCCATGTGCCCTGCACTTTAAACTCAATGGTGCGATTCTGATCAGGCTGGCAGTGAAGAGGATGCCATTGTGCTGGAGCACTGCCTTCTAGCCGCAGCATGAGCTTGAAGTCTTATGGCTTCGCAAGTGTTCCGTTCAAGGTGCCTTTCGGGCTGTACGAGTGGTAGACCCTAAACCGTAAACCCTAAACCCTAAACCCTAGGGTTAAACCCTAAACCCTAGACCCTAAACCCTAAGCCCTAAGCCCTAAACCCTAAACCCTATCAGTAGGTAAAGCCTGCAGCTTCCAGGTGAAGGTGGAGACATCTACGAGCTGTATGCGTCAAGCAAAGGGTGCCTCCATGCAGCCTTGGGGTTTAGGGTTTAGGGTTTAGGGTTTAGGTTTGACAACTTCGACGGAAGATCTCCTTGAGTCAGGTGCTGCATGGAGGAAAAGTTTGTCGGCCAGTTGATCCGCCAACTACTGCTCATCTGGCTTGTCTTTTTAGGGTTTAGGGTTTAGGGTCTTTCTGTTTTTCTGGGCTGGTGCGCCGCATGCTTGCGTGGTTGTGGTGATCAGGCTAGCGTTGCAACACTTGCAGCGGGCTGAGATTGGGTACGGGCAGACATGCATCGCAGGGGGAACGTTTGTTTCAGATGAATCCTGAACCCTAAACCCCAAACCCCAAACCCTCAAACCCTCAAACCCTAAACCCTAAACCCTAAACCCTAAACCCTAAACCCTAAACCCTAAACCCTAAACCCTAAGCTCACCTTGAGGGTTGACCGGGGCATTGAACACCGGGACGCCTGGACCCCAGCCATCATAGCGTGGAGGAACAGCAGAGAGCAGGTGAGGGCAGGTTCAGGGTTTAGGGTTTAGGGTTTAGGGTTTAGGGTTTCGGGTTTAGGGTTTAGGCTTTAGGGTTTAAGGGTTTAGGGTTTAGGGTTATTGTTTAGGGTTCAGGGTTCAGGGTTGAGGGTTGGGTTGGAGATTTCCTACAATGTTTCAGATTTGCACTCATATCAAAGTCGGCAGGCATGTTCGGCCATTGACGACATCTCTTGAGATCTATTGCGATACCATTTCCGAAGCCTTTTGTCTTTGATCTGACCTGCGCAAATATACCAAAGGGAGCTTGCATGGAATGTAGTTACATGGGTGTCTCTTCGGGCCTGGCCCGGAAAAGTTTTTGCCCCGACTAGGTATGCATAAGCTCTGCCCGATGTTTTTCCCCGGCCGCAGGTTGGCCTTGTTTGCTTAAGGGTGCTTTTGAGATGCATCATGCTTCGCGTGGGTTTGCGCAGGTGTCGTGGGTGGAGAGCGTACCCCACAAGCTAAAATCTTGCGCGTGCAGGCTTGCGCAAGTTTGTACGTAAAACTTTCGTTCGCGAGACCAATGCACTGTTTGTACCCGCATTGCACAGATTTGTTGAGTGACTGTGAAATGCCATGACACTGCTCCGTCTGGCATGTGAGCCTGAGATGTAAGACCTTGCATCATTGAGATCCAACCTGGGTTCGTTTGATTCCTTTGGACCCGCGACTTTTTGTCATTTGCCACCGTTTCCCAATTTGTTCGATTGCGCTTGGTACCAGAAAAAGCGAGGTGCATAGAATTCGGCCAACATGATCATTGATGCTGGAAATCGAAACCAGTGCAGTTGTCAAAAAGCGTGAAAGCACTCGCACACGCTACGTGCACGAGCCGATTCCTGCTGCACGTGCGTTCCATCTGCAGCCAGAAGTGGCGCCGGATAAGGGTTTAGGGTTGAGGGTTAAGGGTTAAGGGTTAAGGGTTTAGGGTTTTAAGTCAGGTGAAGCCGGAGAACTTGTTGTTGTACTCCGACCCGGAAGCCACGAAGAACCATCAGGCGGAGCATGGCAACGCCGTGAGGGCATGTCGCACGCAGCCCGTGCAAAAGGCGCCGTTCATCAAGCTTGCTGACTTTGGCTGGGCGGTGATCGTCGCTGGCTTAGCTTAGCAGGTTAAACCCTAAACCCTAAACCCTAAACCCTAAACCCTAAACCCTAAACCCTAAACCCTAAACCCTAAACCCTAAACCCTAAACCCTAAACCCTAAACCCTAAACCCTAAACCTGCGTAGAGGGTTAGGGAGTTTACAGCTGCTGGAGAGCAATTGTGAGGTGGATCGGCCGTCACCGCCACCGGCCATTCCTTCGGAAGGGGTGGGATCGCACCCCTGGCTTGCTTTCCGAGTATACTGGAGTACATTATTGTATATGCGAGTGTACTACCATAGATAGAGTCTAAAAGAGCATATACTAGAGTATAGTCGAGTACATTAGAGTAATAGTATATGAGAGTACATTGAAGCATATCAGAGTATATATCATAGTATATTCGAGGATGTTATATTTTATTGCAGCATGTTGAGTTTATTGTAGTATGTTCAAGTATGTTATAGTCTATTGTGGGATATTCGAGCACATTCGAGTATATTAGGGTATATGATTAAGGGGAAAGTTTCGGAAAGCTGCAGCTAACGCAGAGCAGAACTTCGTGCAAGGCTTTGGTATGCACCGCCGGAGCTGTCGCTGTCTGAATGCTTGGGGGGGGGGGGGGGGGGGGGGGCGCGTGATATGACTCAATGACGAAGCGCAGCAAGTCCATGCGGTCCAAGGAATCCGCCAGTGAGAGGTGCAGAGATCGTCAGCGATGAGCTGCAAGCCGGGAAGAGCGACATGTGGAGGTTCGAGCCAGCCTTCATCCGCATCCCCAGTATCACATGGCAGCAACAAGCGCTACTGCCAGTACGGGCATCATCACCTATCTCCTCCTTACTGGCAGGAGCCTTGTCACGTTGCAGCGTCCGGCAGACTCATGCAAAGAGGCTACAACCCGCAAGGTCACAGCCCCTTCAACAAAGCGCTGGTCCTGAAAGACCCGGTGCAGAGGGAAGCAGAGGTGCCTTTTGCAAAAGCCCTAAACCCTAAACCCTAAACCCTAAACCCCAAACCCTAAACCCTAAACCCTAAACCCTTGCAAATGCAGCGAGCTGGAATGCAAAATTCTCTGCGAGAGGTGATTCGCTTGGCGGCCTTTGGAGACATCAACATGTCCACCAAGGTGAGACGCAAAGCCCTCTGGCTCCTAGGGTTTACGGTTTAGGGCTTAGGTTTAGGGTATCATGTCCTATCGCGCGAAGAAGTTTTGCAAGAGTTGGCTGGGTCTAAGGGCAAGCTGAAAGGGATTCCAGGGTGCGTATCGACATTCCAAGATGTTCGCGCGGCCAGGCGTGGAACATGGACCTGTCCCCGGTGGCTCGAGACTTCATTCTGGCGCTGGTCAGGCCAGACCCAGCGGCCTCCTCAGTTTCAAGTGTGCCGAATATACTGCAACATGTGCGGGTAACATGGTATACTCTACCCAAAAACACCAAAAATATACTCCAACATAGTATCGTACACTATACTCTAGTATACCATAAATCTCCTCCTTTTGCCTTGTTGAGGCAAAGAGGTTGTCGCCGTCAGCTGGCCTGCACCATGCCTTCATAGCTGCGGCAGCGCTGTGTGCAGATCTCTGCGGAAGCTTCAGGCTTGCAAGATGAGCTTATGAGCGGGGGCTCAGGGTTTAGGGTTTAGGGTTTGGGGTTTAGGGTTTAGGGTTTTAGGGTGTTAGGGTTTTAGGGTTCTAGGGTTCTAGGGTTTTAGGGTTTTAGGGTTTTAGGGTTTAGGGTTTGGGGAATAGGGGGGGTGTTTCCGAAATGAGGGGGTACCTTCTTGGGGTCCTTATGACAAGGGAAACTTACCTTTTTGGGAGTCGATATGAGGGGTCCCAGAATTTTCGGAAACCTTATGAGTAGGGTTCTGGGGCCTCAGGGGTTTATGCGTGTAGGGTTTATAGGCTCTTAGGCAAGCAGGGAGTCATGGGTTTAAGGTTATAGGGGTGTATGTGGGGCTTTAGGGCTGCGCAGGCTCTGCCCACATCCGTCCATGCTCGAGGATGTGGCGATGAGGCTCATGCCTGTAGCGTGCCAGGTGGCAACATGAGGCAATCAGATGTTTGTTATGTATGAGGTACTACTGTGTACTCCACAAAGTTCAATACAGAGCAGATTGAGTAACGCCCCGTATGCCTGCCTCAGAGATTCAAGCTTGCCACTCCAATGGCACGTGCAACAGATCCAAGCCCCGTTTTGCTTATGCCCTCGACCTGAAAAGGATTTCGGTAGCTCTTCGTGGTGGTGAAAATGGAGTAGTGGTGGTGGTGGTGGTGGTGGTAGTGGTGGTGGTGGTGGTGTGCTGGTAGTGGTGGTAAATCGCTGTAGTGCGGTCGCAGTAGCCGCCGTAGCCAGAATCAGAGTTCGAACAGTAGCCGTGGGAGCAGTGCAGGAGGAGCAGCAATAGTAGGAGCACGAGTAGGAGTGGATAGTAGTGCTTTGGAGGTGGTTGGATGAATGGAGCTGCCATGAGGAACCCACAAAAGCGTACTTGGAGGGTTCATGGGTAGTGATAAGAGGGGTTATAGGTATTGTAACTAAAGTTATAGCTGGTTATAACCTTGTTTAGGGTACATGTAGCCCGACTTTTAACTACCCATGAACCTTCAAGTAGGGCTCAAATTTAGGGTTCACATAACCGCGTTGACAAACGAACAGGTTGAGTCGTCAACGTGCCCTAAACCCTGAACACTGAACCCTAAACCCGAAACCCTAAACCCTAAAGCCTAAACCCTAAACCCTAAACCCTAAACCCTAAACCCTAAACCCTAAACCCTAAACCCGTCATTGCGGCCGCGTTCCGCGACTGAGTACGCCCGAGTGCGCCCGAGTACGTCCGAGTACGCCCGAGTACGCCCGAGTACGCCCGAGTACGCCCGAGTGCGCCCGAGTACGTCCCAGTACTCCCGAGTACGCCCGAGTACGCCCGAGTCATGCCCGAGTCATACCCGGTCATACCCGGTCATACCCGGTCATACCCGGGCAAACCCGGGCATACCCGGGCATACCCGGTCATGCCCGGTCATACTCGGTCATACCCGGTCATACCCGGGCATACCCGGGCATACCCGGTCATGCCCGGTCATACCCGGTCATACCCGGTCATACCCGGTCATACCCGGTCATACCCGGTCATACCGTCCCGTGGTTTTCCGCAGTCGCGGTTTCCCGTTACAGTGCTAAACCCTAAACCCTAAACCCAAAAGCCAAAAGCCAAAAGCCAAAAGCCAAAAGCCTAAAGCCTAAACCCTAAAGCCTAAACCCTAAACTCTGTTAGGATGCTGGAAGTTCCGAGTGCCCAGCATGCAGGTGGCATGGCTTGGACCTCTTCCAACGCCTTGGTGTCCTGGCTCGACATCCGTATTTTTTGTGCTAACCATATTAGGGTTTAAGGTGCAGAGTTTAGGGGTTTAGGGGCTTAGGGGCTTAGGGGCTTAGGGGTTTAGGGTTTAGGGGTTAGGGGTTTAGGGGTTTAGGGGTTAGGGGTTTAGGGGTTTAGGGGTTTAGGGGTTTAGGGGTTTAGGGGTTTAGGGGTTTAGGGGTTTAGGGGTTTAGGGGTTTAGGGGAGTCAAAAACAACCTGCACATTTTCATTGTTCAGGAATGATGAGAGCAAAGTTTGTTTCGGAACCTTAAGCCCTAAGCCCTAAACCCTAAACCCTAAACTGCTAAGGTTGGTTGGCGATTGCGAGAGCCATCGCCGAGCCCGAGCTCATGGCTTTGGAAAGAATGAAGGAGAGCTTACATGGGGGGTTTTTCCGAAAAGAGGGGGCTCCTTTGAAAGGGGTTATATCGTATTTTGGGGATAAGGGGGTACCCCTATTTTCGGCCATCCCTGCACCTGCAGTACATGACGGTTCTCTCTTCTACAGTTGTTTTGGACCTAATGCCTTGACTACCAGTCACTGTTCACGCTTCGCGCATCCGCCTACGCAGTGCAGGTAGGGCTGAACAGCTAAACATGGCTGCAAGAGGAGTGGCCAGCAGCAACAGGAAGAACCAAGCGGAATCTGAAATGCCGACTTCGAGTCTTTAACCGCCCTGGAGCTTATATAACCTGCGCAGGTTGCCGCCTCAGATACAAGAAGCCGGCAGTGCGACCCGAGAACCAGGGAGCACAAGTCCTTGCACGAGTCCTTTAAGCCACGGTGTTCTGGGAGTGTTGACAAGACGGACTCCTTCCGGTTTTTGCCATCTGAGCTGTGCTCGGTGTGCGAGCAGACAGAATGCGCGACCAAGAGACCCAGAGAGCTAGAGCCGCAGCGATGGAAGCGATGGAGGAAGCAGAGGGGTAAGAGGAGCCGGGAGCAACAGGGGCTTCGCAACTTCAGAACTGTGTCAGCCACAGCGTGCTCCAAGTGGATTTTGGGAAGATTGGTGGCAGAACAGAGTGGATGTCAAAGGGCGACACGACAGACAGACATGCTCAGGAAGATGTAGAGCTAAGCAGAGGAACGGCGCTCACACTTGAACAAGTGCCTGAGCATGGAGGTGCAGCTGGGGCAAAGTAGACACTCGGGAAGAGCCAGGGCAAACACAGAGGATGGTTCACAACTCGACTGTTGAACGCCCAAGTTTTGTTTCAAATTCCTGTTTGAGGAAGCCCGGAAAACCTTGCGCAGAGTACCAGCTTGTAAACTGTCGAAAACCTCGTTTCGAATAAACCAAAAAAGTGAGCGAGTGAATGAGTACGTGAGTGAGTGGACGACTTGGGGCGTGCTCCGACCTGCGAAACGTTCCCTCCCAGCCATCTCGTTGCCCGTTGATGGGGTGGCTGGCGTCGAACCAAGGCAAAAGCAGGTTCAGTCACAGTAGTTCCCTTTTGGTTGTTCAAAGCGCCTGCATCTGGGGTTGCTCTTGAAGGGGGGGGGGTAGTTAACCAGGTCATTTGGGTTCGGTGCTTTTGCGGGACCGGGCTCGCGCGGGCTCCTCCTAAGGATTGGGACTTTGGGTCGTCTTTTCGCAAAGCGCGCCCAGCACGAGCCCTCCGCAGGACTTCGTTCGGAATGAATGTGGCCGCAGTGGATACGTGGAGCGCCTGGCCATGGAACTGGCAGTGGTCTCAGGGTAGAAGCGGGGAGACAGGTTTCGAGCTTGCGCTCGTGCTTTTCTTGCAGCTGCTTGCTGTGGAATCTGAAATAGCCTCCAAGGTCTCCGTGGCGTCGCCTTCCTGGTTCACCTCACAGGCCAGGAAATGGCCCCCCAAAAAATAGCAAGATTGGGAAACCTCCACTCTGCAGGATGCTCTCTTTTTTTTGGGTTGATTACTGGGGTTTATTACTATTTGTGAGGCGGCGTGGACGGACGTGTTTTACCTGGCCTTTCTTTACCTGGACGTGGACTGCGATGGCTTGCTGAGTGCAGATGACCTCAGCGTTCATCTTCCAGGCTCCCTGTTTGGGGGTTTAGGGTTTAGGGTTTAGGGTTTAGGGTCCCGCATAACGGTGTTTGGGGGTTTGCGAACCCGAAGGGTCCATGTACCGAATTATTGTATACTTGGGCCCCAAATACCCTAGAAAGCAAGTACTTGAAGGCCCAAGTACTCCCTATTTAGGTACATGGACCCTTAGGGGAATATATGGGACCCCTGATATAGTCCCCCCAAATAGTAGGATTCCCTAGGCAGGACCCAATAAGGTACCCCCCTAACTTCGGGAATCCCCCCATTTTGTGTGGCCTTGGTCCCTGTTGAAAGGCCCTATGGGCCCTTTCAGCCTTGTCGGGCACGCCGCATGGAATTTCTCGGGTTTCAGGGGCTTAGGGTTTAGGGTTTGGGGTTTAGGGTTTAGGGTTTAGGGTTTAGGGTTTAGGGTTCTCTTAGGGACTTCACCCTTGGGGTTTTGGCTTCGCTCTTTGCAGGCGGCAGCCGTGCGCGGGAGTCCTCACATGCCAGGGGCTACAAGGGTTTGATGTTGGGATGTTTTTTCCCTCTTACACTCGCAGTCCTTAGTAGGGATTCTAGTTACCCCCCCCCCCCTCTTATACCCTTATACTCCTTAATAGGGATTCAGCTACCCCCCCCCCCCCCCTATTATAATCCCTTAATCCCTCTTAATACTGTTTAACTCCAAGGGGGAACATCCCAAGTTTGTTGACATGTTGAGCACAAGGTCGAGCCCTACAAGCACTAGCCCTGACCGAGGCCTGCATCTGCAAGTGGCGCGTCAGCCAAGAGGCGCTGTGAAGACTTACTGTGTAGGGGTAAGGGGGGAATAAGGTACCCTAATCGAATCCCGTAAAGGGTACATAGGGGATATCTGGTACCTTCATCCGCCCACTCCGCACTAACCAACAAGCACTGCGAAGAAAGGAGCGCTTGCCCCCCCGCCTAAAGACGCTCGAAGCACTGGGATGGAGGAACTCTCGCCAAGCCGATCCGTGTTCTTGACGTATTCTGACTTCCAGCAGGCCGTTCATCGGCAAAGTGCTTCTGAACAGGATCCGTGGAAAGGCGATCTCTTGCCATCCGACCCCGGTTCCGAGGCGGTGTGCTCTGCTGCCACGGCATCCTGCTTTCCTCCCCTTGTCCAGCACTCAGCAGACCTACTTGGAGGTTCATGGTACGTACTAACCAATTATAACTGTACTTATAACTGTACTTCTAATCATATTAGGGCACTTAAGGGGCTTGTAAGTGGGTTATAAGTACAGTTATGATTGGTAACGAAGTACCATGAACCTCCAAGTACCCTAAACCCTAAACCCTAAACCCTAAACCCTAAACCCTAAACCCTAAACCCTAAACCCTAAACCCTAAACCCTAAACCCTAAACCCTAAACAGACCTACGTACTCGAGGGGTACGCCCCGAATGACCCGAGTCCAGGAGAGAAGACTTCCCAGCATCGGCACCGGGTCAGAAGCTCGACGCCCCTAGGGTTTAGGGTTTAGGGTTTAGGGTTTAGGGTTTAGGGTTTAGGGCTTCGGGGAGATGTTTGCAGAGCGGTGGCGTGTTCTTTGGTCGTCCATGGCCCAGGGCCTGTGATGTGGCTTGGGTGCAGCGCATGGAGGCCATCGAGGAGGCTCGCCCACTTCTACAAGGGTTTAGGTTTAGGGTTTAGGGCTTAGGGTTTAGGGTTTAGGGTTTAGGGTTTAGGTAAGGCGAGTCCTGTGTTCTCTTGATGCCAGGTTTGCCGAAGGTTCGCTCATGAAGAGGTGCAATAGCCCAGGCAGACAGGGCTACCCCATCGTTTCACCTTCTCACGCGACGTGTGGCTCAAAGAAAGCAACGAAAGGTAAAACAGACGCATGCCCTCTTGACGTGCATTCTGCTTGCGTTGTCAGCAGTTCCTTCTGGTGCAGTCCCATCGGCGCAGAAGGACGGGTACGACCCTGATTATATGAACCCGACAACGCTTCGACCGAATGATTGTGGGCACGGCAGCGGGGCCTAGCTGCTGAAATGTTTGGGCTATGGGCTCGTGCTTTCGTCAAAGATGCTTATGGAACTGGCATTTTGATTTTGCCAGGTTCCCTCCCTGTTGGCATGACTCCCAGTCCTGCAGTTGCCCTCCCCTCCCCCCATGTTGATTCTGAGCCGCCCAACACCCAGGGCCCTACAGCAGGCCGCGGGTCGCGGTCCCTGAAAAGCCATGTCCAGCAAGATATTTACGCAACAAGGGCAGGAGCTGCCAGGACAGAAGCAGGAGCTCAATAATTTATGGCCCCTTTTTACCTCTAGAGGCTGAAAGGCTTGTATGTTGTGCAATCATGACCCGATGCATCTTGCCGCCTTCACAGCAAGGACTGACCACAGCATGAGTCGCACTGCATCCAGGAGTGACTGGGTGGGATGTGTTGGCTCAAAGCCGCGCTTGATACTGCAGTTACCTGGGCAATGTGGGGGTCAATACACTGCTGCCAAACACTTGGCCGGCAGCCTGCCTAAATTGTGCGGGAAGATGGCATTTCAACTCACGCCCCACCCGACTCTTAGAGCCCTCATCCTGAAGTTACGATGGGACTATATGGGACTCTGGCGGGAGCTTTGGATGTTCCTGGACCTAGCCCACCCTACTCTACCCTACCCTATCCGTCCTTCATGTTGAAGTTGAGCTGCAATACAGCCGAGGGCAGATGGCTGTTCCACGTGGGCAAGGCTGGCGCGTGGCACGAAGCCTTATACACACGTCGCGAAGATTCCGGCCTTTCCTGGCCTCAGTGCAGAACTTCTATTGACAAGCCATGTGCCTCACAAGGGGTGCCCGGCTCCAACAAATTACAAAGCTCCGTGTGGACATGTCTCAGGCGCGATTGTCGCCTTCAGCGTGGACGGAAAGATGTTGCAAGCAGCTGCCATCCCAGTTGATGCTCGTAAGGCTTCTTTTGCTACCCGAGTCTCCATAAGTACCAGGTGCCTGGTAAAAATGTCACGGAGCGCAGCGTCGAGGACAGCCGGCATGTAGAGTGCCGCTGGGTATGCCAGGCAGCTCGCATGTGTGGCAGGAGCTTTTGGGGCAGCATCTAGGACAATGGCCCTGACCTGAAGCGGGCAGCAGTAGCGTCGCAGACATCTGCTCGCGCAGTGCGTTTTTTAACTTGCTGTCCGCTCGCGAGGCAGGAGAGCTTGCAGGCATTTCCTGGGCCGTTTGGGCGCGTTGAAAGCTCTACGACTGATGTCTTGGCCTCAAAAGTCGGGGTTCCGGGATGCTCGGTGAACGAACTCCGCAATGGCGCAGTGTCTTTCGTGCGATTCTACAGGTGCTCCTCCAGTACTTAGAGGACATGGCCTTGCGTTTTGACAAGGGCGATGTGGGGTCCGCCCCCCCCATCGTTTCGTGAGAGCCAAGACTGCTTTTCAGCTGCCTATCCTGGCCGCAGCACTTTGTGCCCTAAACCCTAAACTCTAAACTCTAAACCCTAAACCCTACACCCCAAACCCTAAACCCTAAACACACCCCTGAACGCGAAACCCTGTTCCTCTTTGGTGTTTCTGTGGTGCCAGTTTCAGCACGCTGGAGTCTGCCACCAGATTTCCGCATTCCGCTGCCGGGGGCCCTGGCATGCCCCCAGCATGCCCTAGCTGTCCCTTCTTGTTGCATTCGGCTCTCTGCGTTGCGTTGGGGTTTAGGGCTTAGGGCTTAGGGTTTAGGGTTTAAGGTTTAGGGTCCGCGGTCTCGGGTTTAGGGTTTAGGGTTTAGGACAAAAGAGCTGAGGCACTCGCCTGCCGTTTTCTTGGCAGCCTCGTCAGAGCCAACGGCCCCTTCCTCAAGCCTCCTCCGTCGTCTTCGGAATCCGCCCCTGAGCCTAAACCCTAACCCCTAACCCCTAACCCCTAACCCCTAACTCCTAAACCCTAAACCCTAAACCCTAAACCCTAAACCCTAAACCCTAAACCCTAAACCCTAAACCCTAAACCTAAACCCTAAACCCTAAACCCTGAACCCTAAACCCGAAACCCTAAACCCTAAACCCTAAACCCTAAACCCTAAACCCTAAAACCCTAAACCCTAAAACCCAAGACCCTCTGAGCTCCAGCCGTTTCTGAGGGAAGGTGCAGAGTGAGGACTTCTGGCAGCTCTTCACACCGGCCTGGGCCCCGAAGGGTTTAGGGTTTAGGGTTTGGGGTTTAGGGTTTAGGGTTTAGGGTTCAATGCTCCCCAAGAAGATGGTTTGCAGATACCCCTTCTCTCGCGGGCCCCCGCAGGTCCTGGCTTCCAGGGCGTCATCTCTGACAGAGGCGGGAGAGGTCTCCCCAGTGCAAAGGATATGTGCCGGAAGCCCAGAGTTCCATCAGAAGGTTTAGGGTTTAGGGTTTAGGGTTTAGGGTTTAGGGTTTAGGGTTTAGGGTTTGACTCTGCCAATGGATGTCTGCAAGGACTTGCAGGCATGTTAGAAGATCTTCGATTTAAAGTAGTAATCATAATCATAATCATCATAATCATCATCATATTCATCATCATCATCATCATCATAATCATCATCATCATCATAGTAAGAATAATCATGATATTCATAATAACAATACTGACAGTAAGCAATGACAATACAAATAATAACACTAAATAATGATAATACATATAATATGAATCATGTAATGTCATATGATACGAATAAATGTCATACATAAATCGCGTAAGATGCCCATATCAATGCTGCAAAGAGTTGCGGAACGCGCTTTGGCCACCTGAGGCCCGGCTTTGCAAGGGTGAAGTCTCTGGTGCTCTTGAGGCTCCTGCCAAGACTTACTGTTGGTGAGTAGGGAACGGGGGGAATGAGGTACCCTACATAATCCCTCAACGGGTATATATATATATATATATATATATATATAGGGCCTTATGATTCCCTCATTCCCTGCTAGCCAACAGTAAGAACAGCTCTGTTTACTTGCTGGTGACTTCGTTGTGCAACGGGCTCCAATTGGGCTGGAGACTGGGCCAGGATGCTGGCAAAGCTGGGCTTTGGTCACACGCGATGGCGATGCGCGCATCTCAGTGGACACTGTTGGCAAAGAAACTCGTAGCCTGTCATGAGCATCACGGCCACTTGTCACGGACTGTGATTGCTAAGTTCGCGGCTTGTTGACCCACCGTCTTTTGCGGCACCCCCATTGTGCGAACAGTTGCGAGAGCTTCGATCTATGCATCACTTGTCCTCAGCCTTGAACTGGAACTGGCAATACCTGAATCTGGCACAAGGATACGGTCCTCCTTCGCTTCTCCGAAGCTGCCAGCGCTGGCAGCAGCGAGGCCGAATGCCGAGAAATTTCACGACATGCGCATGCGGCTTTTCCCATCCTCCATGCGAGAGCAGGCTGCGGCAGGCCTGTCCGCTCAAGAGCTGGAGGATCGGAAGTCGAGTCGGGCTGTGAGTGGCCGGCAGACATGTGACTGACATCTCAAGCAGGGCAATATATATATTTTAAGGGGCTGCGCCCATGGGCGGGCAGCGCACGCAGAAGCCCGGGGCGAGCAGTTTCTAAGCATGTTGAGGCCCCTAAACTCCCTTAAAATCTCTAAGCGTTAAGTTTCTAAGCATTTTCAGGCCCCTAAACTCCCTTCAAATCTCTAAGCGTTTGAGGCTCCGAGACTCCCTTAACGTTTCTAAGCACTTTATAAGGCCCCTAAACTCCCTTTTTCCTAGCCCCGGGCTTAGACACGTCGCTTATGCCCGCCCTTTGGGGGGCATCATGCTCCTGATGCCCCCCCGCGGTCCCGCCCCGGGAGCCGCTGATGCTCCTGATGCGCGCCTGGGGGTCCCGGGCTGGACCCGCTGATGCTCATGATGCGCGCCCTCTGGGGGCCTCCGTGGCGACGCAAAAAACCACGAAAAAAAAACCGTTCACCGGCGGCACGCGGGGGTCGGCGGCACTGGCGTCCGGCCTAATTCTGCTTCGCAGAAGGCCAGAGGCCAGCAAGGCTATTCCCGGGACGACCCGGGCTAAAAGGTCCGCATTTGCTCGGTCCTTTGGGGACCTCGCGCTGCCCGATTTAATGGCTACCGCCAGTGCCGCCGACCCCACCCCCCGCCATTTTAGGGTGCCTCAGGGCTTAGGGAGTTTCTTGGGTGGCTTCGGCTTGGGCAGCTTGGGGTAGTTGGAGGATTTGGGCGCCCTTTGCAGGGATGACGCTATGAGGGTTTAGGGTTTAGGGCTAGTTCGCAGCCTTTTGGGAGGGGGGGGCCTTCACACTGGTGGCGGGCGGTGCGGATGGCGGCTCGTCAGCGTGGGTGGCTCAGGGGGCGGGTGGCTTGGGGCGGTCTTGGTGGTTCGGGTCATGTGGGTGGTTGGGGTGATGTGGGGTTCGGGTGGTGTGGGTGTTTGGCGGCATGGCTTCGTTCATGTACAGACTGTACAGCCTCAGAGTGTCCTACTGTGCATACCTAGGCTGGGCACTCTGATAGGATTCCTGACCCTTGAGGCGGCTGCGGGCAAGTGAGCGAGGAAAGAAAAATACAAATTTGTTAAGTTTACCTGTAACTCCGTATCAGTTTTGTGGGGCCCCTGCAGGGTCCCAGGAAGGGACCAAGCAGGGCAGCCCCCCCAACTAGAAAAACCTAGATGAATTTAGAATCTGTCCCCATGTGCTTGCATAAAGGCCCACGGGAGGGGGACCCAAGGACCCCCCGGGGCAACCGGCACCCCGAGAAGCAACGCGGATCCTGCAAAAACAGGGCGACCGACCCAAGGACCGGCGGAGGGTGGGAGAAGCGGGCGACCGACC